GGGGGGGGGTTCTTATACTTGCAATGCTCGGGACACCATCGAAGCCTGTTCAGATTTATTGATTCAGGGTCATGTTTTAAGGCACCATCAACACAATTACAGTTTTTCAGTATAATGTACATGCACTGTCTAGCACAATGTGATTTGTACTATACAACACCGTGCATTAAGTTGCAGATATGTGACTGTTTGATTTGCTTAGTCCCCCCTTGTATTTGCCCTTTGGAATAAAATATGATGTGCGTCGTTGATCAAGAGAAATCAATAATCTGAAACCTTAGTCAGTACTAAATCAGTCAAGGCATCAAGAGGCGTCTACCAGCCCCCCGCCCTTTTTTCTTAACTCCATGTTGCAAAACGGGGCACTTCTTAAACTATATTCCTTCCATTCTTCCCGAGGACTTCACTCTCTTCAATCTGAGATGAAATATTGAATAGGTGATATTACATTATTTCTTCTGAAGAAAATACAATACTAAGCAGAATGGGGCGTTGAAAGCAGGTATTGTTTTTTGTTATGTAAAGAAGAGCTTATTAACACGATTACGATCATTTAAGACCTGGGAAAAGCGTACAGAATCAGCGAAGAGAAAAGGAGAGAAGTAGGAGTTACCGGTGGCGCCCTATTACTTAAAAAGCACACTCTGCCTAGGGGCTCACGTGACCTTGAGGTTAAGGTGTTGGCCTCTCATTCAAATGTCGCGGGTTCGATTCCGGGTACAGACCAAAACATTTTCTTCTCTAAAATTGTCTCCTTTCCCCTCCTTTTCTGCTCTCTAGTAATGTTCTGTTGTCTGCTTTTGTCTCTTCTTTCTGCTCCCACCCCCTCTCCTCCTTTGCCCCCTCATTTGGGCTCCTGACTCTGTCTGCAGCCTTTCTGCTGCTACTCCTTGGCTCCTTTTTACTGCTGTCTTTCATCCACACCCTTGATCTTCGGATAGGAAACATCTACACCTAGCCTTCTCGGACAAGGGCGAAAAATCTCGGAGGGCCCGAGTGCAAGTTGCGCACGTTTAAGTTCCCTTGGTGGTCTAAAATCGATAAGAGTAGGCTTCGGCCGCCACCTGGGTAAGATTCAAAATTTCCTACCATCTGAAAATATTAGGTGTGTCCCGCACGCTCATATGACCTTATGCAGTTGCGAGCGCCGTAAAACACTTACAACCCCCCCCCCCCAAAAAAAAAAAAAACCAAAAAAAAAAACAACAACAACCCCACTCTGCCTGTGTGCCAGTCTAAAATAGAAGGGCATCAAAATGCTACCGGTTATTCAGTGCATTTAGAAAGTAAGAAGCACCTGATAAACTGAGATAGTGAAGAAGCCTGACCTACCATTGGCACCCTCAATCAACCAGCATAGCAGCTTATCTTACAGATAGTTCAGCGGTTCAGTTCAAGAAAGCCGCATGCCACATTTTTCTAAAAATCAACTTTTTTCTCTGGCCGCAGATCTTTCTTCGCCACATGTATCTGTTCAATCTGAGGATTGTTATTTACAAGTTATTTACAGTTCGATTCTAACATCAAAAAGATAAGTGATGAAAAAAGATCGACTGGAAAGTTTTTAAAAAATCGATTTTTTTGGAAAATCTGACGTACGTGTTTTTTTAACCGACCCATTGAGTTGAGTTCCGGTAGAAGGGCAGCTCGACATAACAACAGCCTTTTAGTGCAGTCAAAAGGTAAAGACCAGAGTTTGCCTACAACCTGGGCGTTATTGCACAGAAGCTGACGATTTGGTCATTTTTGGTGGGCAGTTGGGGGGGAGGGGGGATTACCAGGGTAATGACAGTCGTTAATAAATGTCCTGATTTGAAATACATTGTGCATGGACGATACGAAAATTTTAGCCTCTTGAAAGTGGCAAAAGAGGGTGGGTTTGGAAGCACTGGCATGTTGTTATAGTTTTAGTAAGAGTTTTACGACACTTGCAACACAATAAGATCATATAAGTGCCGAAGAATAGATTATGTGTTACAGGAGAGTAACAAACAAAACGAAGGAGGAGAGATAAGAACGAATGTTTGATAGGAAAGAAGAAGCAAACTCCACCAGAGCACCCACCATTCACCCACTTTGATATGTTGTTATAGAGCAAAGAGAAGAACATCGACACAATAATGTTCATTTAGTGATATCTTTCGTAAGGCAGACAGGCAGAAACAACAGAGGGAAAGTTACGAAGTTGGAACTACCACTAACCAACCACCCGCAAGCACTGGTATAGCCATTGATTGAGTTTGATTGAGTAGGTGTTTTATGGCACTATTGACTCAGTTTTTGGTCGTGTAAGCGCCATTTGGAAAAGCCATTGTTTGTTTTAGTAAGAGTTTTATGGCACTTGCAACACAATAAGTGCCGAAGATTAGAGGTATTACAAGAGAGTGACAAACACAGACAGACAGACAGACAGACAGACAGAAACAACAGCGAAAATAAAAGAAGTTGGACCTACCAGTGGCGCTCTCCAATCACCCACTTGGTAAAGACAGACAGACAGAAACAACAGAGTAAATAAGAAACAACATGGTATTGACAGATAGACAGAAACAACATGGGAAAGTTAAGAAGTTGGACCTACCAGTGGATTGGGGCCCTTCAACTACCGACAAGCACTGGTATAGACAGACAGAGAGAAACAACAGAGACAATAAAAGAAGTCGGAACCGCCAGTGGACCCCTCGAACCATAAGCTGACCGCAAACGACAGGTGTTGTAAGCCGCACGTGAGAACAGAGAGGGGCAGCAACAAAACCCTATGACAATGGGTGAGATGACAGCAGCATAAGGGGAGCCGGGGGGGG